GTTAGGAGGTTCATTTCATTTATCATTACTTCCAACTTCATACTCAAAGCACTGAGAATTGCAAGTGGAGTACATCGAAGTAGACTTCAGTTTCTTTGCATCATTTCTGTATTCAATTTTTAAATTCTTTCATAACCCCGTTGAGTGTTTAAATTACCATGGCGCGAATGAACCGCCCAGCTCCTGTAGAAGTCACATACAAGAACATGAGATTTCTTATTACACACAATCCAACCAATGCAACCTTAAACAAATTTATAGAGGTAAGGTTTGATACTTTATTTTGTGCATAAGTTGATGGCCGTTTAATAGTGGAGCATATATCTAACAAAATTATTACTACTTTGGAACATTTGGGATGATATGCCTTCTGATCCAATTTCCATAGAGAACAATCAATGTCTTTTTTAGGTTGGAGGTAAATTATTTTATGCATTTTGAGTGGGACATGCTTGAGTTTGGATTTATAAGTTAATAGTTCTTCATGCATCTGAACTTGTTTAGTTTAAATTGATATGTGGACAGTGTAAAAGTGTAACTTTCGCTTACCTTGTAAGACACTCATATGGGGGAGGCTGCTATTTGTGGATTATTTTAAATGTCTCCTAAGCCTAATGAATAATGTCCTAGACTCAAGTTAGTTTATGTCTTGAATCTAATTTGATGCTTAGAAGCCAATTTTCAGCTATTAAATCTGCTTCCTCATGATAGTTACATAGGCCAAACCGTCTCACTGTCTACCTCTTTTTACTAAGAGAACAGAATAGAACACTGAATAATACAGCTGGATGCATACACATTTTAATTTGTAAATATCTTCTAGTGTTCAGACATAGCAAGAAGGCCTTTCAGGTTATAGGAAAATACTGTAATGGCACTTTTATTTTTGATTACCATCTCTCAATTTAATGTTGGGAGAGTTTTAATTAGTAATAATGCACTTTAAAGCCTATAGTTTTAAATCGTATGTAGATTTTTTCCCTTGTGTTTTCAGGATTTTATAGTCTTTAAATATACATCTTTTTAACTTTTGAGTTGGAGTCTCACTCTGTTGCCCAGGCTGGAGTGTAGTATCATGTTCACTGCCACTGCAGTCTCAACATGCTGTGCACAGGAGATCCTTACATCTCAGCCTTCCAAGTAGCTGGAATTAGAGGTGCACGCCACCATACCCAGCTAATTTTTTGATTTATGGCAGAGAGGAAGTCACATCAAGTTACTTGGGCTTGAACCCCTGGGCTCAGGCACTCCTCGCCTTTACCTTCTAAAGTTCTTGTATTACAGGTGTGAACCACTGTACCCGACCCTTTAGACTTTATACTATGTACTTCAAATGAATAATAATTTAAGATAGTAGTAAAATTAAATCAGATTATTAGCTTGCTTAAGTTCGTTTGATGTATAACACTCCATTTTCCTTTTATGCAATTCTAGTTATTGTCATTTAAAACAAGATTGTTTACTTGTTAAACATACCAAGGTTCAAGCATTCTTTGCATGACTTTCTCTTAGCCCGCATCTGAACTGATCAGAAATGATAGCAAATGTTGAGCAGTAGTGATATTCTAAAGACTTTAAAGTTTTTGTAATATGTGTTTTCTCCAGGAACTTAAGAAGTATGGAGTTACCACTGTAGTAAGAGTGTGTGAAGCAACTTATGACACAACCCTTGTGGAGAAAGAAGGCATCCATGTTCTTGTAAGTATTTATCACTCCTCATGTTTGATTCTTTGCTACATAAGGTTACTCAAATAAATCACAGTAAGGTTTAATAATACATGTTGCTAAACATTAATAAAAATGCTTTTGAAACATTTAGATATTAGATACTAAGAATTATCAGTATGATATTTATACTAATGGCCTAATATTTATATATTGTTTTGACTTAGGATTGGCCTTTTGATGATGGTGCACCACCGTCCAACCAGATTGTTGATGACTGGCTAAGTCTTGTAAAAATTAAGTTTCGTGAAGAACCTGGTTGTTGTATTGCTGTTCACTGTGTTGCAGGTCTTGGGAGAACGCCAGTGCTTGTTGCCCTAGT